AATCCTTGGATCACACCGTCAAGTGTGCTTGTCCATGTCTTCCACATGGACTTAGTTGATGCCTAATTATTTGAAGATAAACCTTTAAGACCCCAGACACTATACTTTCTAATAGCTGGGCACCATCTGTTTTCTTCACCACACTTGTCTATAACACCCATATCTTCAGTTATCTTTTCATGAGGGTAAGCATCAAGCAGAGCCATGTCATAAGAGCTAATTGTTCTTAGATAAGGGGTAGAATTATGTGTGAGCCCAAAATCCATTCATATATCTATGCCTTATATATGTCTCTGGTTCACTTTAAAAACATCATTATCTTTCATGATAGAGAGCATTATACGTCACCCCCTTGAGACATAATGCACTTCTATTAGACAGTGTCATTAATTTAACCAGAGGTAAGAATTTCAAACACTGTTGAGAAAAGGAAATTACATGAATATAGGCCATCTATGAACCTCGGTACCTGAATTGTTGACTTGTGTACTCTTAAATGACTGAACACCATTTACACGGTTGGGGTGGTGATAGGGCCAAACTTTCAATACCAGTCATTGACAAAGGGTAATCATCCCCATCAGATCAATACATGTTATAAGAAAGTAATGAGGACATTAAAATGGAAAATACATAGTAATTTTGGGCCACCATCCATTTGACACCTTCAATGCAAGAGCTCAAAAACAAAGTCCAATGACTGCTGATTCCATAACCTTGGGCTAGCAGTCATTTGCTTCACCTCAGCCCTAGGACATTTCAGCCTTAAGTTCAAGGGAGTATGTCACTTCCTTAAATCTGCCACAGGTGAGTTCGAGGTAAAACCTAGTTCACTTAGAGGTTATCCTCATTGAATCTTTCTGGTATATCCTATGAAGGATGTTATGTGACTTGAAAGTCCCAGTAGTTTATAGGACATGGCCTGTTTCTCCACGGACTGGATAGAACTAGGTCCAAAGTGTCCAATTAGAAACATAGTACCAGGCGTACTCTCCCCTTAGATTCTATAGAAGTATTGTTAAGCATTTTCCCCTTTGAGAGGTTGTTCTTCTCTGTTTACCCAATTTGGCGCATAAATTTGAAATAATTTTATTGACTGGATTTCCTTGTATATGTATAGATAATATTCTATCACAGATAGTATTGTACTTCAAGATAGATCTTTTTTTAAACTTTTATTTGTTTATTTAAAATAATCATTTTATTGGGGGCTTATGCAATTCTTATCACAATCCATACATACATCCATTTTGACAAGCACATTTGTACATTTGTTGCCATTATCATTCTCAAAACAGTTGCTTTCCACTTGAGCCCTTAATATCAGCTCCTCATTTTTCTCAAGATAGATCTTGAAATGTCCTATTTGACAATGAGTGTGACTCCATTCCTCTTGAATCTGTCATTACCAGCATAATACACCATATTACTGACTGATTCAAAATGGCAAGTACCAGTTCATTGAGGCTCACTGGTAGGATATCAATTTTTATGCTTTCCATTTTATTTTTGACAACTTCCAGTCTTCTTAGAGGCATACTTTATGCATTCCAAATTCCAATTATCAGTAGATGTTCACAGCTGTTTTTTTCTCCTTTTGAGTCATGGCTCATCAGCAAATGAAGGTTTCAATCGCTCTTTAACTTCCTCCACATCATTATGATCTACTCTATTTTCAGAAGGCAGCTAGCTCTTCTTCAGTCATATTTTGAGTGCTGTCTGACTTTAAGGGCTTATCCCTGACAATATTTTGCTGCTATTCATGAAGTTTTCAGTATCTGACAATGTTTCACTCCTATTTGTAAGGTTTCTAGTGGCTAATTTTCTCAGAAGTGGGTAGCCCAT